ATAGGATGGTAACTCGAGCTCCAATAACGATCCAGAAATTGTCGATGACTTTACCACTCAGTCCAGCCTCGCTTACCAGTTGTTTAGATCAGAGACGAGCGAGCTTTCTCGTTTTCGCAGCGTCATCAAACTGCAACTAGAGATGTTTCGTGAAGTCGCCGTCATTTACCAATTTTTCACAGACCTTGAGAATGCCCGCCGTCCCGTTAACTAGACCATCTCGGACGTCAATGTTGGTAGTAATCATATACGGTTTGCCGATGACAATGAGAATGTCTCTTGGCTGGTTTGCAAATTTTGTGGATGGGCGACATTTTTTAACTTTCTTGGTTGCCTTTTTAGAGCTTCTTGATTCGTGTAACTCCGGTACATACGTTCTGCTTACAAGCGAACGACCTCTTCTCTCTGCTGGGCAAAGAAGGTGTTTAACTTGTTCACCTTTTAATTTAAGTAGAAGATTCGTATTACCGAAGTGGTATGAACCTGAGGGTCCTCTGAGAGTCCTCAACACATCCGAAGAGCATAAGCGTTCTACTGCGCTGCAGAGAGCCTCTTGGTAGCACAAGAAACATGCCAGCACTGCAAGAAAATGCATCTTCTTCACACTCATGCGAGAAACGACCGCGTCGGCACTTATGATGATCACTGTCACGGATATCACAAAAAAATTGCCAGGCCTGCGCGGATGGTGCAGCGCAGTTACACTGAAAGCTAAAAGAGCGGCCTTTCAGAGCCTCTTTTAAACACTCTTTGTGTAACTGCTGCAAGACTCGCTTGATACCCACTACGACATTAATAATAAACGTTTTTTAGGTAGTAGGCAGGCAATCACTGTGCTATTTTTCTTCATTCTTCTGAGAAGCGTGGTATCCGCTAAATACTTGCAAGGAATTTTGTGCTACTTGTTCATGCGGTGGCTGATGGCGTTGAGGAATTAGCCTGAAGTGGGTAAGCGCCACAGTTAACAGTAGAAGAACAAGCTTTTGCAATAGGTTGGAGCATTGGACGACCCACTCGTAACACTATTCGCGTTCTGCGACGACTGGTTGTTCTTTCGCTGCTTTAAGACGCTTTATAAGTCGTAATAACGCGATTGCTTTCCCGACATTAAGCCTGTTTAGGTCAAGTTTGCCAACGTTTCCCAAGCATCGGCATGGCATGGTTCAGTAGTATAAACTTGGGTAGCACCCACCGGACCCGGGTTCGAGCCCCACTGTGTCATTAGTACTAGTATTGTTTTTTGGTGTGACAGTAGTTACGAACACCTGCGGTGGCGATGGCAGTGGCGGGGGTGAACAACTACATCGCTGCGCGAGACCCGAGTTGTGATTCCATAACAGCTTTCGCTGTAAAATTCGTCCATCAGAGTTTTTTGTGGCGAAACTCTAAAACCATGGGTCTGTACATCTCTTTTGCGCGACAGCCTAGTTCTATGACTCACTCAGTAGGTGCGGACGGACAGAAAAACGGAAGGACGGACTGACAAACAGATGGATGGATGGGCATATAGACAGACAGACAGACACATAGACAGACAGACAGGCGGTTTATTGATACAACCCTGCAAGTTTTTGCCCCTCTCATCAATAATCACTCGTGGATATATGCTGCGATTTTTTTCTCACCGTTCGTGAAAATCCATGTGAGTCGTCGTGCAGAACGGCGTTGAACTGATTGTGCCACCGCTGGGGTCAACGGATTGCCGTGTCTTCAGTGCGTCCTCATTCAGCTGCTCGACGTTTTTGAGCTTTTGCTACATCTTTCAAGCAACAGCACGATGATGCCACATACGATCATTACTCGCTACCATTGAATTAGGTTGAACAGAGCAAACATTCAGAGGGATTTTCGTAGTGACATGTTTGAAGTTTGCTCTACTAGATGCAGCCTTTCTTCAACATTTTCGCTTTTTCGGCGATGTGCACCATCAAAACACCTTCTTCTTTGTCCCGCGTTGCTCGGGCCGTCCGGCTTAAAACGTTTTACTCGCATTCTCCTCGAGTTTTCTGAGTTGACGAGGCAGCCGCCAGCCAGCTATACGGTGAAGCGCAATGTGTGGCACTACATCTCCACCAGTGGCATGCCTGTGTATGAGTGGCCTCGCGATTTATTTGCTGAGAAGTTGAAAGTCACCCGACGAGAATTTGACCACATGTCGGGGCATCTCCACTCCATATGGTTCCAAAGCCTACACCACCAAACTGGCGATCACGCAGGGACTACCAGGCGCTGAACCAAGTTACGGCACTAGGCAGGTACTTAATACCACACATACACAACATTACGACAAGACTTCATGGCGTCACTATGTTTTCGAGAATTGACTTGGTGCGGGCGCACCATCAGATTATCGTTGCCCCGGAAGATACCCCAAAGACTACTATCTCAATTCCCTTCAGACTTTTCTAAGTTTTTCGAATACTGCTCTGCCTCTGAAGCGTGGGAAACACATTGTAGTGGTTCATGGACACTGACGTACGCGGCTTCAGCGCCTGCCATGCCTATCTTGCTGACTTGATAGTCGCAAGCAGCACCCTGAAAGATCTAGCTAATCATCTATGCATCGCCTTCCAGCGCATAGTGGAGCACATGGTGGTCTAGAACTTTGCCTAATGCAAGCACGGTGGGCCATTGAGGTCATCCTTAGGATGGATCATCTACACCTCAGGAGTTAAACCTCAGCCCCACCATGGCAAATCTGTGTAAGGATTTCTTTAGCCTGCCGCAATGTGCCAGATTTTAGATCTTCTGTATTTAATATACTTCCACCATCGTTTCATCCTCCGCTACGCCCAAATCTTCGAACTTTTCCACCACCTGTTTTCCAGCTCACGATACTGCTCAAACAAACTCTCCTGGTCTTAAGAGTGAAATAAAGCCTCCCGCAAGGCCTACGATGCCTTGGAAAATGCTGCTTCCTCGAATACTCTAAGACCAGCGTCCCACAGTGTATGATGAGGAATGGCTCCGACAGAGCTGTTAAAGATATGTTGGTGGAGTCTTGCGCACCATTTCGCTTTCTCGGGAACGCTAGCCTTCACCGAGCACTTCGGAATTCGTGTATGCTGCCAATCAACACTTTTTTTTTCATTTCCTTGAATGTGTTGAATGTTTCATCCTCACCAATCCCAAGCCGCTTACTTATGCAATGCGCTCGCTAATTCCGAGGGTGAAGCACGCACAGCACGGGAACAGTGCCAAATGCCATTATAGCAGAGCTCATGACTGGCTCTTCCGGAACGCTATCAACTCCATCGTACCCACAACAGAAGTTGATTTTTCTGCTTAGGCAGCAGCTCAACACGAAGACGACATGCTAAAACTTAACCTGTTGACCGTGACCCGGGACAACTGCCTTGAATCTACAGTTATTCCCCCACCCCCAGATCTCGGAAAAAATTTTCCGTGACACAAGCGCCAGCAGAACTCGCCCTTTAGTGTCAGCGAGCCTCCGTCGCCTTGTGTTCACGTCCCTGCGCAGGTTGTCATATCTTATTCAGGGATTATATCCCCTAAAATACTGGTGACTGCGAGATTTGTATCTCAATTCGTAAATCGGAACGTGTGATGCCGGGTACGTGAATGCGTTGCTTGCTACCACTCCAAAATGCAACACCACACACCGACAGCACTGCGAACACTCCATAGCCGGGTTCTCTCTGATTATGTTTAACCGAACATTGTCGGCCTACTGTCATCCTGGCGTGAACGGACTTACCTGCTGACGTGCATGAATAGATCCCCTGCTGGGCGAAAGCCATTTCTATCACGGACACTGGTGCCAAAAGGGTTGCGAGTTCTTTCTTGTACCACCAGGTAGCCCAATGCGGGGTGCTCTCAACAATAACTACTTACCGCGGCCGACAGCTTGTCTCCACATTTATAACTGCTATAACTCAGCTCATGGAAACCTCGCACGCAGGTTCAACGCTGTACCACCCAATAAGCGATGGCTCTGTGGAGTGTTTTAAACGTCAGCCGAATGCCGCGCTCAAGGCAACCGAAGAACACAGTAGTGTGGATGCCCTCCATCTCGTCGTCTTCAGCATAAGGTCCACCTCAAAAGAGAATATTGGCTCCAGCGCAGATTAGTTCATCTACCGCATGACACTCAGGCTACCAGAAGAGTTCTTTACGCGAGGCTCAGGCGAGGCATCCATGACTTGCGGAAACTACGCAGTCTCATGACCGAATTTCGCGCGGTGTGTCCACACCCTCCAGGGTCGCATGTGGTGCACTTTTACCCGCAACTCAAATTGTGGCCACCCGTGTTGGCACAATATGATGCAGTTCAGCGACTTCTTCAGTGACCCTTTGAATGAGCGTTTAAAGTCATCCACTGCGGGAACAAAACATTTTGCCAGGAGTAGAGGCTGTCGTGAGGATGTGGTGTTGCTGAACCGCATCAAACCAGCCCACATAGTTAGCCAAGATGCAATGGTGTCTTCGCCAAGGTAATCCTTGCCAGGAGCCCCAATTTCAATTCCAGCACGAGCTAACAAGGTGCCTACTTGGCTGCCGCACGTAGGTCGGCGTTTAAGAGAGCCCACTCGCTTAGACCTCTAACCCCGTTACGCAACACACTAAGATAAAAAGCTGCGGTGGCTGCCAACCAAAAAACACACGGCACTTCAGCTCTCTTGAGCGGTTTTACTCTTGCCAATTCAACGCGTTCACCAATCGGGAAGTGCAGGGCGAGGAGAGCGAAGAGACGAAGGCATACAGTCTGTTGAGAGTTGGAATTCAAGACGTCCTGTTGTCGTTTTTCACCGTGCGTATACAGGTTCCGACAATAGCGTTAAAGAATACAGTTAAACTTGTGTCTTCGTCCTTGTGTTTTTGACTACACAAATACGTAATAGTTCGAACAGACAAACTTGCTTACCTTGTACCCGAAATAAACGTAATGCGCTGAAAATGTTGTTCTTTTTTTCATGAATTTTATATGCAGTAGATTTAGTTGTGTGAACATGTCCTTATTGAATTTGTGTTTGTTTCAGCAAAAACAACTTGACATCCCTTCCAATAGACTTCAGTGCCGACATGCCGCTATTACGATCGGTGACCGTCGAGCACAACCACATCGCCACATTCCACCCAGACACGTTTGCTCCTCTTACTCTCAACGAGGCCAACAGAGTTCGTTTCATTGGTAAGCAAGAAATGAAACTGAGTTACATTTTCTAATTAGGGTTGCAGCTAATGCACCGGCAATGTAGTGTAGCATGTTGTCGGTAATTTGCTGTGTTAGAAACATCGCTCTAAATTGGACGCAGAACAGCCTAATAAATGATTGCGTTGAAGTCTTCTCGGCTTTAATTATCATTCCTGTACCCAAAAGAAATACACAATGTTTAATTTTTATTTTTGCCTTTCTTTGTCTCTACAGCATTATGAACGTTAAGATGCACCACAGATATCTGTCTGGTAATGTTTACTTCTTGGCGCTTCATTAAGGCATATTTCCATGCCACAGGTATGTTTAGTGAAGGAAAATCAAATCATTGGCCTATTAGCGTTTATATATTTGTTCGGTTAGGTGAAAAACAAAAAGCACAATTTTCGCAAGAAATAGTTATTATTGTCCATTCGATTAAAAATCTAATTTTCCACTCTAAGAAAACACCTTTTCTTAACTCTATCTAATACCGGAAACCTTGAATACAAGGGCAACTGTAAATGTCACAGCTTTCTTTCTTCTATTTTTGCCGAAGCAGTGTTAACATTGCTGTGCGTAACACGTTCTATGGTTTTTACATGTTCTCGTCGGTTTCATTCCTGAAACGTAGCACACACGCTGAGATAATTAGAATTTGCCCAGTTTGTGATTTTGTGTAGTCGCCTTTGTATCAATGAGCGGTTAGCACTTCCTCGATACCGAGGGATCTCATTGTCTTCATAATTTAGAGTATATTTATTTGGAAGCTGAAAGAATTGTTTTCGCTGAGTTTCAGTTTCTAAGTGCTTTCTTGCAGTATGTTAAAACCTATGGCTAAAACAACTAAGATGCGTTCTGAGGGATCATATGTTTCATATTTTTTTAGTTTTTTTTATAACCTAGTTTCTATTTCTGTTCGTTTTACAGGAAACCCGCTGCACTGTGATTGCAAGCTAGCATTCGCTTTGCAATACCCACCCAGCTGGTTGAATGCACACTGCGAATCGCCGCAGGCTCTTAAGGACCAACCCCTCAAAGATCTCACTGTGGAACAATTGACTTGCGCTGACGGCGCATAAATATATCTCTATAGCTCTATACCTGGAAGTGTTAAAAATAAAGTAACATCTTGAAGCGTGGTGGTTTGGGCTAGCTGTTATGACATGATGATTGTTATAGCACGAGATCAGAACGACAACATGGGGACAAGAAGAAGACGAGCACTCGTCTCTCGATTCCATTTGAGAAGCTAGGTTGTAATATTATGATGCGGTGTGTAATTTTATTCAAGACTCTAAACGATTTTCAACATGAAGCCCACGTTAACAGATACTCAAAAAAAGGGTCGAAAAGTAATTTTCAATTCTGGATAAATCCATGACATACCAAATTGATCGTGTTTGGCAAAACCAGCTGTCTGGTCGGCTCCCAAAATCAAGTTGTAGCTATCAGTGTCTACTTTGTTGTTGATACTTTTTTCTCACTATCTAAATCTTTGGTTTCTTTCTTTTTTTAACATACTGTCTTCACTATACAACCCCCCTCCTTTTTTTTTCGTTGTAAGCAATAATGCAGTTATCGTCCATATGAGAATATATGTTCTCTTGGCCAATCCCACAGAGTGGGTACGAGCCATGGATTAGAGGATACAAACAAACAAACAAACAATTAGCGCTCGCCTTGTTTTTGTCGTCGTTCTGAGTTCGCGTTGTAACCATTGTCACGCCATCTTGAAAGAAGAAATCCAATCATTTGCGGAATACTTTTTTTGCACCAGCCTGATACTTTCGGTATGCTGTAACGTATAGAATAACTGCTTAAACCAAGTACATTAAGCCGCATTTAGGGATTATGCTCGAATTTTTATATTGTAAAGAATGAACGAGATGTTTGCAAAGCCATTATATAGTACGCTAGTGAATGTTCCATCAAGATGTAATTTCTCTACCAGCAACATAGTGATGTGTGCAGAAAAAACACTAAGGTGTGTAGGTAAAGAGCGTTCGCTAGATTACTCTTAGCTAAACACTGTCGTGAAACTTGTACAACGCATGAGTTTCCGTCTTCCTTGGATACAGTATTCACTTCTTCATTGACTCTCACAGTAGAGTTGGAGGTATATAAAGCAGCCTCCACAATTGTAGCCGTACGTGCACAAGCTATCTCTTACCATAGCTTTATTCACACACATAAAATATTGGGTATTGCCATTTGTGTCGATTATACAGGGGTTATGACACCATTTTTCGAAGGTGAGTTTGCTCTGCCTTGCAAGTATCTTCTATACAGACACCACTTTTGGCACATGTAGCTCTCTGAAAATGGTGGCAAGGTGTCTTATTTTGAAATTAAAGTGAGTTCCTCAATGACGCACCTATTGCTGTCGACACAGGCTTGACGTAAGGCTGTAGTACTAATTCTCTTCACTTCACGAGGGAGTCCAGCTAGTATTGATGTCAGGCACGAAAACCTTCAAACTGGCCACCTAATTATGCGTTACCATACATTCGAAGTGACCAATTTGGTGTCACCGACGGTGCCAGAGTGAGCAGTGGTCGTGAAAACGTCACAATACTTTGCACAAGTGCGTGACCACAATATAACACCATGGTGTGATGATAGAGTGCAGTGGGGATCAAAAGTCGCTTTTAAACATTTGCTAACTACATTTCATGGTGCTTTCACACTTAGCAGTAGTTATTTTATTATCTTCGTGACTCAAAGTTTTTATTATGCTATGTCTTCAGGGCATGACTTTTCATTTAGCACAAAAAAGACGACAACTGAAATTTCTGAGTGCTTCCTTCATTCATTGATTACATTTCGTCAGCGTGGTTTTAATGAGTTTACACGGCTCACAAGGTTTAACACGGCTAAACATGTACCGAGACAGCCAAGTGGCGTCTTTGGTTATGGAAGTAGGCTGAACACACGTGGTTTACTATATTTATTCTTGCACTATTTATTCTAATAAGAAAAACGAATACCCGCCAGTCGTGCCACTGGACGCATGTGGAATGAAAGCGGCGAGTCGGTGTCGAAAAATGATCCCAAAATGTGTTTTGAAACCTTCGTGTGAACGAAGCCTGTCAAATCTCACGACCATGAATGTGTGCATACATGTTGTAACAGCAGTAACCAGTGTCGCCGGTTCTGCTGATTATAAGTAGATTTCGGCTTGTTTTTTGGTCAAGCTGTTTTGCAGAATTTTCTAGTCGCTTGTCGCGTTTTTTTTATGGCAGCAAGTGATGGATGGATAAAAACTTTATTGGAGTCCTGAAGGATTACAGCCCCGTTTTATAGGGATAGGATCGCGGGCCACTCCTACGTGCTATAGGGACGGGGAGGCCTAGCCTATCCGCCACACCGTGGACCTTGTGGATAGCCTTGAGTTGTTGTATAACAACCGCACTCGCGAGAAGTGAATGAAAGGAATTTTCGGGAAATTCTTAATTGTTTCCTTGTAAAGAAGGGCACCTTCAGAGCATGTGGTTAAAATCACTGCGATTGTTGCAACGCAGACAAAGTTCTGAAATAATGTAGTAATGGTTATAGGTTACGAGGCTTGGGCATGTTCCCGGCTGAAGCATGCGAAGAAAGATTGCCTTTGGTCTAGACAACTCTTAGTGTGGAAATGAAAAGGATCTACGGCCTAGCTTATAGTGCTTTGCGATGTTATTTTTTCATTTTTCCAGCAAATGTATCATTTTTGTGATCACTACATTCGCCCATTCGCATTCTCGTTAACTAACAACGTGTTTGTTTATTATTTTGAGTAGTAGACTGCATATGTGTTTTCAAGGTGCACCATCAAAGGGGAAGAAAATTCATTACGTTGCCCCCCACCCCTCACTGTCCTACTAAGTCAATGTACAGGTCAGATTTAGTGTCCTACACCCTTTTAGCTGATTAGGAGAGTGGTCATTGCCCTAACCTCTCTGGGTGTGCACATGCTTATGATTGATTGTTTAAGTTAGACGTTATGGCAATCGAGAAGTAACATTGATTATAGTCCGCCTTCAATTCAATAGAGGCTATTCCAGAGACAATGTTAACAAGTGATTTTTTAAACTCCGTTTCGCTTGTGCAGGACGTTTTCTTACCATATTTTTAAACGTTTTCCAAAATGGCAAAATTTGTTGTGTTTTTACTTTGTTTGGCATCCTTTTGCGATTAGAACTATCTTTTCCCCGGAAGCATCTGGCAACACTGGCAGCGGCTCTACGGGTGTATAATTTTACGAACACCTTCTTCTTTCAAAGACGATATTCCTTCTTGGGATATTTCAACGTAAAACGTTTGGTCTGCGTGTCTCTTTGTCAGCCAAAATGGCTCAAGTACTACCACAACCACAGCGCCAACCAATATTGTTCAGGTTTCTGCGTTCATACTTATGCTATTGTCGATTAAAAGGCAAATATTCCACATAACTGAGGGACAATATCAACGCGTCAGTATTTAGCGGTGTGTTTCTTTATTGTGGTAAAGGCATACATAGCTAGTTCTAAGAACTGCAGTGTTTATCACGCTGCGCTAACAATGCGGTACTATGAACTAAAAGGCGAGTTTCTAACACCTTCCTAAGATGAGACCGTGCTGCCACCTACCTTAAAATATACAAAATATGGCCTTCAAGATTGTGCGCGCCCGTTGCGCGCTTGCTGTAGGGTCATCCTATGACAAACGTCCCAGCCATTTTGACGAACATCTCAAATCTATTCGAAAACAAATCGTGCTGATTTACTACGTTGAAAACAGTGATATTTCGGAGGGAAAAATTTTTCGGACATGTGGAAACATTCATTTCAAAAGTACCGCTACTTCTTTATATACAAAATTTCATCTTCATGTTAAGTAAAGGCGCTTGTGTAAGCTGAAGCTCAGTAAAATTAATGCAGTTTTACTGGCACACACGCTTCCAAAAATTCAGGCGAAATCTGTTATGTTTGCATTTTTCTATTCACAACACTGAACTTTGTACGAATATCTAAGTAGCGAAAACTTTTTCACAGACGGTATATTTTGAGAAAAAACTTTTTACATTTGTCAAGCTGTTGAATTTAACAAAAAAACAGATATTTTGCAAAATCATCCATTATGAGATGCGATATGCCCCATGTGGTGGTTCAATTTAAAATAACCTTTTTACCCAGACCAATTATGGCGGAAGTTGTCGTATGACCAACTGGTAAGATAGGTGCCATTAGAAAAGTTCAAAAATAATTTTTTTCTTTAAAACAAAATAGTTAAGATAAAAGTTGCCAATTTAAAAGAACTGTTTATTTGCTTTAGATTTTATTCTAAAGGTGATTTCCAAGTGAACCACGAAATGGTGCGAATAACGTCTCAGTATGCACAAAAAGTACGATTTTGCGACAATTGTGAATTTTCCTCGTAAATTATTGCAGCTTGCGAGGTCTAAAAGTAGTTGTTCCTTAAAATATACCTTTTTTTGAGTAAGTTTTTTCTACTCAGATATTCGTAGAAAGTGCACTACGGCAATGGAAAAATACAAACAAAACACATTTTGGCTTAACTTTCGGAAACATACGTGCGAGAAAAATTGCACTAATAATGCTTAGCTTCAAACACCTTACACAAGAACGATCACTTAGCATGTAAACCACCTTTGGTGTTGAAAGAAAAAGTGGTACTTTTAAAATACTTTTCTTCAGACACAACACCCAAACGACATTCCCTAAAGTTTAGAAGGCAACCGTGACCAAATATTCATTTCTCTCGGAGGTCCAAAGACTTTAAATTTTAGTTTTGCCCATCTATGTGATATGAACGCACACACAAACGCTGGCCCGGACATGCATAAGGTAAGCTTTAGCAGAGTGTGACGTTCGGCGAGTTGGGGCATAGCTTGTTAAAACGATGGTGGCACAACAAATACTAGCAAGGAAAAAATAAAGAGACAGGCGCTCTATCCTGTCTTCTTTTTTTCTTTACTAGTATGTGTTGCGTTACCATCATTTTAATACATAAGCTGAGCCCCCTACCCCCTCCCCCACGTCTTCAAAGGAATGCTGGCTGCTCCCTTGGCTCCTGGCTATACACAGACGCTACAAGCGCGGCGAACATCTCGTGCTTACATTTATGCAAGCGACGCCTTTCCGGATCACACTTCGCAAAC